TCAAAAAAACAAAACAAAGCAAAACAACAAAAAAATGTAGAAACGTTTTGTCTCTCATCCGAGAGACTTCCTCAGTCTGAGGTACTGTATTCAGCTCAGTCTCTTAAATAGCACATTCTCAGAGTGGATCAACCAGTTTTGCTGCTGACAACCAAAACCAGCTGATCACATGCTCAAGAAGGACCATCAGCCTAACAATGGATCATTAGTACACTGATGGCTGTTTACTATTCACAGGGGGTTGAGTGATACTAGCAATAACAGCATTGTAAGAGGGGGACAGTTGAACACGGAGGCCTTCACCCCTGTTTAATGATGGACGATTTCTTTTCACAAAGATGGCCTCCTTTACTCCTCTCTCAAACCATCGTTCCTCTCTATCCAGCATGTGCACATCTTCATCCCTGAAAGAGTGACCGCTGGCCTTGAGATGAGTGTAGACCACAGAGTCCTGGCCTGATGATGTTGATCTTCTGTGCTAGGCCATCCTTTTGGCCAGTGGCTGTTTTGTTTCCCCCATGTAAGACTGATCACAGCCCTCCTGACACTGAACAGCATATACAACATTACTCTGTTTGTGCCGGGGGACTGGATCTTTGGGATGAACCAGTCTTTGCCGTAATGTATTTTGGGGTTTAAAAGCCACTGGGACGTTATGTTTAGAAAATAAACGTCTCAGTTTCTCTGATACTCCCTCAACATATGGAATGACCACTGGTCTGGGTCTGGGTTCCTCCTTTTCACCTGATGGCTGACTGGAGTCCTGTTTGGGTTTCTTCTCTGCTTTCAGGAAGGCCCAGTTAGGATATCCACATTGCTCTAGAGCCTGTCCTGTGTGGGATTTCTCCTTCTGCCTGGCTCCTGAGCTAGTGGGGACGCTGTCTGCTCTGTGATACAGAGTCCTGATGACTCCTAACTTGTGCTCCAAAGGGTGATGGGAGTCAAACTGCAAATACTGGTCTGTGTGGGTGGGTTTGCGGTACACCTCAGTTTGTAAATGTCCTCTATCAGAGACTGAGACCTCACAGTCCAAGAAAGCCAACTTGCCATTTTTTCATCTTCTCGTGTGAACTTGATGTATTTATCCACAGAGTTGATGTGGTCAGTAAAATCGCCTCGAAGCCATGCGGAAGTCATTCTCCATGGCCTCTCCGAATTCCTCCCATGCCCGAGGTTTTGCCTCAGCAACCACCCGAGCCGCATATCGCTTGGCTGCCGGTACCCATAAGCTGCTTCCGAGGTCCCACAGGCCAAAAAGGCCTGATAGGACTCCTTTTTCAGCCTGACAGCATCCTTCACCGACGGTGTCCACAACCGGGTTTGAGGGTTGCCGCCGCGACAGGCACTGACAACCTTGCGGCCGCAGCTCCGGTAAGCCACCTTGACAATAGAGGCACGGAACATGGCCCACTCGGACTCAATGTCCCCCACCTACCCCGGAACATGTTCAATGTTCTCGAGGAGGTGGGAGTTAAAACTCTGTCTCACAGGAGACTCTGCCAGACGTTCCCAGCAAACCCTTACAATACGTTTGGGTCTGCCAGGTCTGACCGGCATCCTCCCCCACCATCGGAGCCAACTCACCACTAGGTAGTGATCAGTGGACAGCTCCGCCCCTCTCTTCACCCAAGTGTCCAAGACATGTGGCCGCAGATCAGATGAGACGATGACAAAGTCAATCATTGAACCGCGGCCTAGGGTGTCCTGGTGCCAAGAGCACATATGGACACCCTTATGCTTGAACAAGGTGTTTGTTGTTGACAATCCATGACGAGCACAGAAACACTAACATAAATACTGTTTATTATTATTAAACTTTTATTATTTAAAACATTTAATATGTTATAGTGCAGCACGACGTGTGTGCGTGCCTCATTCTATAAACAGCGATATTAGAACTGGATCAGATTGTGTCTCTTCCAACTCAGATGTCGGTCACAGCACCTGGAATCTGACATAGATTAACTACGAGATTAAAAATATATTCCATCAGTCGTAGTTCTGAAAGCAGCGTATCCGCCACCATGTTGATAGAAATTAGGGCTGCAACAACGAATCGATAAAAATCGATGATTAAAAGCGTTGGCAACGAATTTCATTATCGGTTTGTTGTGTCGCGCGATTATGCGTCTTTCATGGCGCTGCGGAGCCGTTTCGTTTTGTTCACGGGCAGTTCATTGTCAATGCTGAATGACTGAATAAAGTAAAAAAAAAAAAAACTACTCTGCAGCGCGAGTTGAACAGAGCGAGGGGGGAAACAAAGCAGAGGCTCTTTTCAAAGGAAATTAAGTAAATTTTACAAATGACCAACGCAGTGAAAACTGTTTGACCCAAGTCCTCCAAAGAGTGGGAGAACTTCACAAAGATAAAAAACGAGAAGCATGACGCTTTGAAAATCTTCGACACGAGAGAACCACGGAGATAAAACGTAAACATGTCGGAGTCACGAGGAGGAGGAAGGAGCTGCAGCTGATACAACTCTTCATGTGTTGCAGGTGAGTCTCTACAATTTAACACTTTGTTCTGTTTCAAGAGAGAAAACGTAACGTCAGTCTCTCTGGTAGAAGAAGCTGTTTGTTTGTTTGTTTGTTTATCTGATTAATGACGGTGATAGAGAACGTGTGTTACCTTTTATTTAATTTAATTGGTACAAGCAGTGTTTAAATGTGATTTATAAATAAATCTAACACAAAGATAATAATTTAATGATTAAGCTTCAACTTTTAATTTGCTGGCAAAGTCTGAAGACACTGCAGGTATGGCAGGATGAATTGCATTTAAACAGGAATTAAAGTAATTAATTACATCTACTCAAATGTGTGAAATTAAGTATTTTATATATGTGTGTGTGTGTGTGTGTGTGTCCTTGTTTATGCTACTTTGTGAGGCCCATTTTTCCAACTTATACTACATTGTGAGGACCAACTGCTCCTTATGGGGCCCAAAGCCCGGGCCCCATAAGAAGAAGTCCCGTTGGTGGGTTAGGGGCTAGGTTTAGGACTAAGGTGTGAATTGAGGATGTGTTAGGTTTAGGGTTAGGTATGTACTGGTAATGGTTAGGTTATGGATAAAGGTCATGGTTAGGCTATAGAAATGAATGAAAAATGAATGGAAGTCAATGCAAAGGCCCCACAAAGATAGCAAAACAAACCTGTGTGTGTGTGTGTGTGTGTGTGTGTGTGTGTGTGTTTAATTGCTCTTTGAGCTACTTTTGCCTGAACCTAACACTGTAAGTGAAACAAAGCATTTCTTGAGTTGCTGTAAATTATGCTATAATACATATTTACTGTCTCATTCCAGAAAACAACAACAAACAACAACAATATCCTTCATGATGGACAAACATCATGGACACCACAGCAGCAGCTGTCTTCACTGAAACATCCTGAACATGATCGTCACTGACATGAGGCCTCTGTCCATGGTTGAAGACGAAGGCTTCACTACAATAATCCACACTTTTAATCCAGGTTACAATAATCCACACTTTTAATCCA